TAAGTAAGATTCAAATGATAACACACTCAAAGACTGCAAGTTAAAATAATCGAATCACATAATTTAACCACAATAAACAGAAATAAATTTAGAAATAAAACTTAGACTATTTATTGATCCAAATATTCATTTTTATGTAAATTACCTATGTTTTTCTATACAGTGTATGAGGCTATAGAAGTTTCTAGTGTTATTTTAAAGGGTTAGTAAAAATTGGTTGTTATTAGGTTTGTAAAATTTGGTTGTAGTAAGGTTGGTAAAATTTGATTTTAATTAGGTTGGTAAAAAAATTTTGTAATTAGGTTGGTAAAAAAAATTTGTAATTAGGTTGGTAAAAATTGGTTGTAGTTAGGTTGGTAAAAATTGGTTGTAGTTAGGTTGGTAAAAAATGTTGTATTTAGATTGGTAAATATTGGTTGTAATTAGATTGGTAAATATGTTTTTAAACCAATTTATGGAATGTCTAAGCCGATGTTGAAATTAAATAGTTCGTAATAATATGCTCCTTTACGGTACACGTACACTTGGTAAAAGAACATACCATAAGTAGATTACGATCGACGGGATACATATGTTGACAGCTATTGGAGAGATGGGGAGGGTTTATGAGGTCAAAACAAGGTCGGATGAAGGCTGAGAGGAGCCCCCGGCTGAATTTTTGTATGGCCCATTTATATATATATATATATATATATATATATATATATATATATATATATATATATATATGTATATATATATATATATGTATATATGTATATATATATATATATATATATATATATATATATATATATATATATATATATATATATATATATATATATATATATATATATATATATATATATGTATATTATGTATGTATATATATATATATATATATATATATATATATATATATATATATATATATATATATATATATATATATATATATATATATATATATATATATGGGCCATATATATATATATATATATGTGTGTGTGTGTGTGCGCGTGTGTGTGTGTGCGTATTTGTGTGTGCGTATTTGTGTGTGTGTGTGCGTGCGTGCGTGTGTGTGTGTGTGAAATGAAAAACAATAAGTAAACAAATGCTAGTAAAACAAACGCTAGTTTTACAAGATAGGACCAAAAAAGTCAAGTGATCGGGATTTAGCAAAAGAATGTATACACGCTTAGCGTTTGTTTTAGGTGGCTCTCTCGGTATTATCTAATCTAATCTAAACCCATCAGGGTTTGAAGAAAGGACTAGATTTATTTGGCACATGCAATTCAAAGAGACAAAAAATGACTTTTAGAAAAGCTCTTATACAGAATATAAAAGAAAACAAAGAATATCTCAGACCACCTTACGTGGAAGAATCAAGAATAATTACAGGATATTTAAATACTAGCGCCGTTTTGTGTTTACTAACAAAAGCGCAATTCGTCTTGTGACGCTTTCGTCTAACATGTTTAGGTAATAGTGTGTTTACAATTGTTTTTAATGGGGGGGGGGGGGGGAGCACTTGAAATTTTCGGGGGGGGGAGGTAGACTTTCTTCGTGGGGGGGCGGTAGACTTTCATCGTGGGGGGGGGGGGCGGACACTGTTAAAAGTATATATTTTCTATATAAATTTCATTTCGTTCGAGGGTGGGCGGTAGACTTTTTTTCTGAGATGCCTGGAAGAAACTCTGACTGCAATTACTTGAGGAGTATAAATTCAGGATAATGTGTTACAACTTTGATATTGCAACCACAGTATTTTTAAAATTGTACTTGATGATAACTAATCTTTCAAAATCATGACTATACGAAAATTTAATTCGGATAACAAAATTTGAAAACATCTCTCTGTTACGGGTCAGTTGTGGGTTTTGTCAGAGACCAACCCGGAACGTAACACTCTCCATACGTTTTTTAAATGAGCCTACTGTTGTAAACATGTTAGAGTTATAGTGCTGTTTGTCTAGATCCAATGTAAGACACAACATGATTATAAAAATAGATAACTTTATGTTATTTTAGTATATGTGTTCAGCCCATTATACATTTGCATATCTGACAATGTAAGCCTAGCCTAATGTAATATACTTACTGGTCGTATTTTATAGGCTAAGCAAGAGCAATCAGAAACACAAAATTATTTTAGGATGAGCTCATGATAAATAAACATTGTTTGACATGAAGTGATGACAGCTACAGTTTAAACTGTTGAGCGTAGGCGTTGATGTCCGACTAAGGTACAGACGTATATTTAATGAGAGAAAAAAAATCTCATTCCTTCGTATTTGTAAATTTGGAGAAAAAAAACTTATAAGAAAATCGATAGGAAAATTATTTTTACTGTTGTTGATAAGAGAACCATTTGGAGCCGAATTTGGGTGTCTCCTGTTCAACTCCATAATCCGTCACTCTTAATGACTCATTAGTTATGGCCTCTTAAGATAACCCTTGCCATATCCTTCGCAGCTCCCACCAGTTCATCTAATTCCGGTTTAATCATAATTTATTCGACGATTAAAGCAATTATACTAACCTACTTTTCACTTCAAATAACTAAAATTCAAAACAAGTTACTTCCTGCCTTTTAAAAAACGTTTGGATTAAAGCGGTATTTGTAAGCTACTACAAGGATCACCCAAGACAGACCTGGAGGTGGAGTCTTCTTGAAGAACTGAAGCCAACAGGGATGTATTGGGAGATGTCAAAATTAATATCCGGGGTTCGGATGAAATGGAAGGAAATGGTTGAGGCCCTATGTTCCATAAGGACTAAGTCAAGTCAAAGTCAAAACAAGGATCCCTCATGCAATGACTTGTTGAAGTAAAACATGTTTTTCTAGTCTCTTTTGTTAAGATTCAGTAATTTATTTCCTTAAACTAGTTGATCAGTCAAAATGTGTGCCAGATATTCTTTTTTGACTTACAAGATCTACCACTGTGCAAAATTTCAGGTCAACTGGACATTAGGAAATGGTTGAAATTAATTTTCCACAAACACACACACACGCAAACACACACACATGCAGACACACATACTGAGCAAGGGTTAAAATGGTTACAGTTCTCGAGAACTAGAAAATACTTTTTTATCTAGTTTCAGACTACATATCTATTTATTTTCATCACATGTCTTAACTTAATGTAACTTTAAGCCCCAGGCAAGCGATCAAACTGTCAGATTGATCGTCTGCATCAACCACTTTATCTAGCGGTAGAGCACTAGGCTACTAACCCGAAGGTCTCGAGTGTGAATCCGGGTTCAAGTCAGTAGAAGGTCGATCCACCCAGCTCTGGTGGATACCTAACTCATATTAGAGAAAGTAAAGGCGACTGCGCTAATTTCTGACCACACCATTCCTTCCTATGCCTTAGTCAAGAAACATGAACTCTACTTCATCTGCCCAGATCTTCTATTTTATACATTATGACTTATTGGAGGTACAATTTTAATAAAAGAAACTGAAAGTATATTCTCATGGAAACAGGCAAAAGAAAACAAAATTGTAAATAATATTGACAAAAAATAGTAGATCTCAGTGAGGATTGAACTCACGACCCCTGGTTTACAAGACAACTGAGCTATTGAGTCTGCGGCGTTTTGTATGCACTATTCTTTTTACAAGCTGTCTAGATCGAAACGCCCGTGTGAAATTGCAGGCACTTCTGACAGATACGGTTCGTAGATGGTACGTGGGTCAAGACATGAAGACAATGCATCGTGACATTCAATTTGACTTAATTGGTCACCTATTTAATTTTTTTAACTGTACAGCACAACCACTAAACTGTAAGCCACACGAAGACCACACGGGATTAACCACATATGTCCACTTTTTGAAATTATTTAGTAAGTGCCATATTCGTGAGTGCTAATGTATATCTATAATAATGTCAAAAAGCCTATGTGTCTGTCCACGTTCGTGTGTCTGTTAATGTATATCATTATGAGTATTGTCAGTGTATGCTCTTTATCTAGTGTGTATGCGATTGTGTTAATTAAAGGGTGTTTCATACCTACATTCATATATTCATATATTTATTTATTTATTTATTCATTTATTTATTTATTTATGCGTATTTATTTTTGTTTATTTTTTATGTATATGTGTGTATGTGTTAGTTTTCAAGCGTTTCTCTCATTGTGTATGTTTGTATGCTAAACACTATGGGACTTAGTCATGCTTAAGTGTATCGACATGTCAGTGCGTCTATTAATTTGTAAGTGCGTGTGTTGAGATTTAGTCTACGATTACTCAAATTGTGGACCAATAACCCATTTTTTTTCTCATTTGATCTTGATAAATTTACGTAAAATATATTTGACTTCACATCCTTTCTTGAATTAACTACTCGTTTATTTTGTTCTGCAATTCTATTATATAAGTAAACTAATGTTAGAGTTTCTATCATTATAATTCAAATAGTTAACAATCTTTAAGAATGAATGACTGAAAAATTAACATAACTTGTCCATATGTTATGGAAATGAGGCATTTGCTTCTAAATAGCTTTGAAAATTCACTTTTATGTGTTGTCTTTTGTATTATTTTGTTAATGTTTTACTGACATAAATTTGTAGGTCTAAGTAAATTTTTATATCGACGTGGTACAATGTCAAACATTAAGTTATTCAAATTGCTTTTTTTTTTATTTAAAGCTTTTTTTTAACAATAGTATCCTCAAAGTTTATAGATCAAACAGGCTTTTAAAAATTTATTATAGCAATAACAATATTGTTTGCTAATTTGCATCTTCAAAATGGATGTTGATCTAGATATGATAATGGCTTCGAAAAAACACGTTTTCAGTTAGAATTTACATAATACGAATGCAACAGCCATGCGATGAAGGTCGTTTGTGATTGGGTAGAAGGGCACGTGACGTGATTTGATTTAATGGCCTTGGGTTGTTCTAATTTAAGGTTACCTTATATGATTGTTTCGTTTGTGTGACCTATATTTTTATGTAACAACTTATAAATCCGGTTTGAGATTTTGTATATAAGGCGTCTTCTCTTCCATGAAGTGTACAACTGGAAATTCATTCACCCAAAATCTAAAGAAAAATTACCACAGTTACCAGCATGGGTATCTTCACGTACCTGGCTCTGACGGTCTCCATGGCAACGATGTACGGCGTCGGCGCCTTCACCAGCGACTGGGACACGGCGTTTGACTTCAAGTGTCTACAGGGTCGTGCCCTCAACTACATCCACAGTGATTACGGCAAGTTCTTCAAGGACCGGAAGTGGGAGTTATTTTGCCGCTCTGTGGGTGCGACCAGTGCTTGTGAGCAAAGTGGTGAGTTAACTTTAAGCTAGTTTTGATAGCGGTGATTCGTGTTAGCCATGTTTATGTATTCTACATTGTGTAGATCGGTCGATTTTGTTTATTCGTTATCTTTTCCTTGCAGTGCCCATGACACACGAATCCGTTTCTAAAACATGTTTCATTCCTACCTATCCTATCAGTCTTTGGAAACTTAATGCTATTTCCACAAGACTTTCTGCTTCATTCCAGTTGTTTCTCGGCTGTGTGTTTGCATGTGTTTCTAGGTCTTCCCTTGTTCCTTTTCCTTTGCAGTGTTTGAGAGCTTTTGCTGAAATATCATCAGGCTTCATCATTAGTTCGTGGCATACCCAACGCGATCTTCTTTTATCAGTTGCTTTTTTAAAAAATTGTATCTCTAACAACTGTTAATTACCTAAAATTTAGTTAGACTTGTTATGTAGTGCTGTTATATTGAACAAACTACAGCACAACTTCATTACGAAAGTTTAATTGTTCTCCAAGTATAGAAGTTAGGCTCTAAGGAAGGATTACGTCCAGGATTAACTCTAGGTTGAGAGTTAGAGTCATCAGTAGAATTAGGTTTATAGTTGGTTTTCCTGTCAGTTCAGGTTATGGCAAGAGTAGATATAGTCGGGTATTCAACGCAACATCAATCCATGCACGCAATTTCGAGAAATCGGTAAAACTATTTCTCGTGTTATTATGTCATGAATTTAAAAAATAATATAGGGCTTGTCTAACTAATACGCAGGCCTTTAAAAATTAGAACGAATTTTATACAGCTCATGAAGTAACCTATGACCTCAGCGTATTGGGAGAAAAAACTTGTAATCGGGGATATATCAGAGTTCGGTGCTTTACAGTGTTTGAATCGAACACGAGAATTACCACCTAACCACACTGCCTGTTAGTTAAGGGATTGGGAGATAGAATTGTGATGACAACACTGACTTTATAATATGTATGACAGAGGCTGCACATTCTAATATTTTATAATGAGGGGTTACATAATCGTATATTTTAACTATATCATGGAAAAATCCCGCTATACTAAGCTCGCCGTTATAAATTTCCAGACCACGGACCAAGCCGTTTTTTAAATAACTAAATGTTTGAGCATATAGTCCTCAAAACACTTTAACTCATTTCTAATCTATTTTTACAATCTTTTATTTTACTTTTTTCCTCTGTCTGTCTATCTGAAAATGGCTAGCGATATATAGAACTCTTCTAACTGACCGCTTCGTTTCAAAGTTGGCACTTGGGTCAAAAGTTGTAAAAAATTATTTTCTTTAAATATATAATAATACACTACTATTTAAATAATTATAAAGAAAATCGTGGGTTTCTTCCTAAATACTTTTAAAGATAATAAAGTTACACACGCTTTTCTTTATAATTTTTCAAATAATAGTGTATTGTTACATATTTAAAGAAATTTAATTAATTTCTCCCTTTTTACTTTCTCGTAAATACGAAGTATAGAGAAAGTCTTGTAATCGTGCAAAACAAAAATCGAGATTTGCAACGTTTTACACCTCACTGATACGTAAATACATAATTTTGCAATCTTGTCCGTATGTCTGTGTGTCTGTGTGTGTGTGTGTGTGTCTGTGTGTGTGTCTGTGTAAACACGATAACGTGAGCACCGTTACAGCTAGGTTGATGAAATTTCATATATAAGTATTCTATCAAAATCCTAGATCCGTATAAACTTTTGAGCGATTTTCGATAACCGGAAGTGGTACTTTTTCTACTTTGAATTTTTCAAAAGCCTATAACGTGAGTACTATTTCAGATAGATACATGAAATTTCACATGTAAGTAAAAAATCAAATTCTCTACCTTCTGTCAAATTTTGAGTAATTTCCGTTGAACGGAAGTACTAATTTACGCTATTTCCGATTTCTCAAAAAAACGCATGTAAATTTATAAAGTACTAATAATATTCCGCACTATTATGCACATTTTGTTTTGGTGTTCGCTTGGTGCCCAAATCTTTTTTCTACTAGATTTAATTCTAATTTTAAAAGTTTAAGTATTTAAAATGGATTAAAAATAATAACTATATCCCGAGTCCCCATCCCCTGTTGTTTTATATAAGAATATTCGAGAAAGTTTAGGGGAGATCACTCCCGGTTTAATAGTTAAACGTATTTATCTATTATTTATTTATGTTCTTACCTATTCATGAACTTGTGTTGAAGATTATTACTGATGACAATATGTGATAATTAATTCCAGACTATGTAAACGAATTTAACAAGCCGTTCAACTATGTGTGTCCACTGAACAAGGTCCTCACTGGCATCGCCAGCATAAATAGCGACGTTCACGAAGACCGCAGGTTCAAATTCCAATGCTGCAAAATCACCGGCAAAAACCCAATCGGATGTCACCTAACTGACTACGTCAACGACTGGGAAAAGAAAATGAATTTTACCACCCTCCCGGGTAAGGTGTTAAATGGCGCTAACAGCATCTACGACAAAGATCACCAGGACAGGAGATGGAAATTCAGCATTTGCAACGTTCAATAAAACCTTATTTCATTTATATGTTAATGGAATATCATATCGATCAATGTTAGTGTTTAAATAGTTGACACTTTTTCTTTTTTAGTTACTGAACAATATTTTGAAGAAAGAAATGTAAAAACGTTTTTTTTTTATTTAAAGAAACAAATGTGTAGCATATTTTGACTTATTTTAGTATCGTTAATTTTTTTTAATTTTTAATTTTTATTTTTACTTATATGATTAGTCGTACCCACATATTCGGATTTTAGAAACAATAAAAATTAGAGCATATGTTTTTAATTATTTTCCTTTTTTCTTTAGCTTTTCATTAAATAAATTACTGGCACTAGAGAGCTGTGCTCACTTATTTCACGTCGAGCAAAAACTAACCCTAATCTTATACTAAGCTAACAGTCGCAGCTAGCCCTGGCTAAAATACTAGCACTCATCTGGCCCCAACTTGATTGCCGTCTCCCAAGACATCCCTGTTGGCTTCAGTTCTTCAAGAAGACTCCGTCTCTAGGTCTGTCTTGGGCGCCCTCTCTTTTACTTTCTCATATATACGAAGTATAGAGAAAGTATTGTATTCGTGAAAAAAAAATCGAGATTTTTGCAAATCTCGACGTTTTACACCTCACTGATACGGAAAAACATAATTTTGCAATCGTGTCCGTATGTCTGTGTGTCTGTGTGTGTGTGTGTCTGTGTGTGTTTGTTTAAACACGATAACTTGAGTACCGTTACAGCCAGGTTGATAAAATTTCATATATAAGTATTTTATCAAAATCGTAGATCCGTATCAGCTTTTGAGCGATTTCCGATAACCGGAAGTGGTACTTTTTCTACTTTGAATTTTTTAAAGCCAATAACTTGAACAATATTTCAGATATATAAACGATTTTTCACATGTAAGTAAAAGATCTAATTCTCTACCTTCTGTCAAATTTTGAGTAATTTCTGTTTACCGGAAGTAGTAATTTACGCTATTTCTGATTTCTCAAAAAACGCATGTAAATTTATAAAGTACTAATAATATTGCGCACTATTATGAACATCTTTATTTGGCGTTCGGGTGGTGCACAATTTTTTTTATGAGATTCTATTCGGCGTGGTCGAGTCGGTTAAGCTCATGATTGCTAAACCAAAAAGACTTGAGTTCGAACCCTCGGGTAGATGAGGCTCGTTAGCTGGGGACAGCCACTCTTCTAGGAGACAACTCCAAAATCAAACAACTGCTGCCTTGTAGTTTGTTCTTGGTTGGACAAAGGCTATGGAAGCAAATCCAAAAAGAAAAGCAGGCTGAAATCGGAGTCAATGGCCTCAATGGCGAATAACCAGTTGACACGTATCCTTAACTTAAAAAGCTCATGGTTGATAAATTCGAAAAAAGTCTCGAGTTCAAACACTCAGGCAGATAAGGCACTTCCAACACTAAAAATTAAGAACGAAGAAGAAGATTCTATTTTAAAAAGTTTAAGTATTTAAAATGGATTAAAAATCATAACTATATCCCGAGTTTCCATCCCCTGTTGTTTTATATAACAAAATTCGAGAAAGTTTAGGGGAGATCACTTCCGGTTTATTTTAATTCGCTGAAAGTTATAAACAAAATGCAATGTTATCGTTTGAAGTTGTATTTAGTTGTAATTAGTATTCGACGACTGCAGTGATTGTAATGTTCAACTATTTTCTATCAGAACTTAACTTTGACCCACATATAATTCAACGATTTCTTCCATCTTTTCTGATATTTTCGTTTTGTATGAAAATGCAGTAAATTGTTAATCTATTTATCGAAAAACCAAAAAAAAGGTCATTGTTTTTTACACCAGCTTTTGGCGAACATTTAACATAAACTATTATATTCGAAACTACTACACGACTGCTTATAAATATTTAAGAAATCAACCTATATCGTGTCTAATGTTTCCGTATTACAATGTACCTTACAGGTACAGAAAGGTAGATTTACATAGCTTATCAAGGATTAAATTGATTTATTTTTAAATATTTTTTTTACATTTGATGCAACAGCTGGTCCACATTTCACTATATATTCTAATGTTTAGTTTTACAGATCATGTATGAGTCGTCGTGGCCGAGTGGTTAAGGCGATGGACTTGAAATCCATTGGGATTATCCCGCGTAGGTTCGAATCCTGCCGACGACGCTATTTTTTGGAGCTATATTTTTTTGATTTTCAAAACAATGTTTCTTCGCGTTAACGTTGAATAAAATTCACTACTATTAGCAAAAGGTTCTAGATCTAATAAATGAATCACTTGATTCGGAAATTAAAATCACAATTTTTTTATATATTCTTTTTTTTTTTTGGCAAGAACTATTTCTAGAAATATAACTTAGACGTGTCCTTGATCAATAAATACATTTTTCACCGCCGCGTTAGCTGACCTGATTGTTGTGTAGCGAAGCATATTTTAACAAAATGTTGGTCAAGTATATTTAACAAGTTTATGTGTTTACGTTTCATATTAATTACTACAGGTATATGGCTAGAAATTTTACAGCGACGAATACATTCATATTGAATGTGCAACAAACCGTTGTTGAAATAAAACATTCGAAACATTAAAAAAAATATTAGTAAGCCCCCAGTGAGGATTGAACTCACGACCCCTGGTTTACAAGACCAGTGCTCTAGCCACTGAGCTATGGAGGCGACGATAAGTAAGGCCAAAAAAAAAAAAAATTTAACTCATTAACATGCATGAGGTAAAAGAAGCTATGCGAACGTATCAAGAATAAATTGCAAGTATTGTTCTTCGTGGGTTAGTCCTGCATGCAAGGAGCGGTATGAACCTTGTATAATACCAAATCGTTAGGTTACTTTAACCCGCATCGAATATTTAACCGTATTTTGTTCCCGACACTGCAAGTGTGCCCATGCTAGAAGATCCATGTGGGTTTAGTCGTGGGGTTTGTACGGGAGGCTACTGAAGTAACACAATGCTGCAATAAATTTTTGTCTCATTTATTTAAGGCCGATTCTAGTCGGAATAAGATACGCATGCGATACGCATGCGCAATGGAGAGAAACTACGACTTAGCGGCGATGTTTTCGATGGTACTGCGCATGCGTGTGTTTACAACCGCAGAACCCTAATACCAACCCTAATCCTATCCTTAACCATATCCCTAATCCTATCCCTAACCCTAGCCCTAATCCTATCCCTAATCCTAGCCCTAATCCTATCCCTAACCCTATCCCTAATCCTACCCCTAACCCTCATTCTAGCCCTAACCCTAGCCATAGGTCACTGCGCATGCGCAGAACTATCTTTTGCCGAAAAATCTTATTCCGAGTAGACACTTCGTTTATTTAAATATGTGGGCCAATGTATAAGCAAGGCTAGAGCTATTATGTTTATAATCATTCAACTTTTAAATTGTCTTATTCATTTGAAGCCCCTGGGGAGCAACTGGCTGCAATAGGGCTTGTAAGTAGGTCACCAACTTCTTATCATACTAGCCAGCTAGTATTTTTCAAACCAATTGAGAATATGTTTATCAAATCGGTAAAAAAGAAATAAAAGTTACTTACGCTATTGTTAAGTTATTTAAAACCGTAAAAACTGATAATGATACTTTGAGAATTCACCTGACCCTGGCTAACGAGATTTCAAATTTTAAGTAAGAGAAGCAAAGAGACTTACAAGCCCTATTACACATCCCCACCGGACTCGGTTGTGGGCAGCTCTACTTATCTGCGCCCACGCAGATATTCTTTAGCCTGGCATACGACAACAGGATGTTCCATTTTTATCGTGGCATTTGATCTCAATGTCCTATTTTTTTATCATTTGACCTTTATTGTCTTACTAGTACAACGCGTCCTTTTTACTTTCTCGTATATACGAAGTATAGAGAAAGTCTTGTTATCGTGCACAAAAAAAATGAGATTTTTGCAAATCTCGGCGTTTTACAGCTCCCTGAGTAGGAAAAACATAGTTTTGCAATCTTGTCCGTATGTGTGTGTGTATATGTGTATGTGATAGTGTCTGTGTATGTGTCTGTAAACACGATAACTTGAGTACCGTTATAGTTGGCATCCCCTGTTGTTTCTTATAAGAATAATCGAGAAAGTTTAGGGGAGATCACTCCCGGTTTATTTGAAATGAGATTGCACTTGTTTATTTTGGTCTACTATTCTGTCTTAGAAGTTAATACTAATGTCTGTTTTACGTGTCAATTTCAAATTATTATTTGACAAGCTTTAAAGTAAATGCTTAATAAAACTATAGTTAACCCATCTTTTATAGAAATGATAACTTTAAGACCAATAATGTATTTGCTTCTCAAAATCATTATTTTTTAAACCACTAACATTTAAGTGTGATTTTATTTTATTTTGTACTTTAACTTTTACCAACTAACAATCTAGGCCTAAGTTGTTGTTTTTTTTCCACAATTAAGACGATTTTATTTACAATTTTAAATTTAGAATATTTTGAAGAAATATCCGTGTCGCTTAGAAAATTATAAAGTTTTCTTTTTTTGTTCAATATAACAATGAAAATACTGTTCGCTGTTAAGAATCACCAACAAGGATGTAGATAAAGCAGGATTTACTCACAGAGATTCTATTTAGGTCGTTGGTAGTTGTTCGTGCTGTCCTCGACGTTCTCGCTATCTTTATGTCCTTGTACTGGTCTAATTTTTCTCGCAACACTTGGCAAAAGAACAAAAAATATACTGATAATTTCTTAGAATTCTTTTTGTTGTAATTGTGTTATCAACGTTTTTATCTACGCGTGAGCTAACAATTCCGGTTACCGGTTCTTGTATTTAAGACGTCTTCACCACCACTAAGCGCAGAACTGGAAATTCATCCACATAAATTCTAAACACGAGTCATCAAGATTACAAGCATGTGTATCTTCACGTACCTGGCTCTGGCGGTTTCCATGGCAACGATGTGCGATGGCTTTTATGTGGTCAACTACTGGGACCAGCCGTTTGACTTCAAGTGTCCCCTGGGTCAGGCCATCAGCTACATCTCCAGCGAGCACAGCGATTACTTCGAGGACAGGAGGTGGGAGTTTCACTGCCGGCCGGTGGGGGAGACTAGAGTTTGTGAAGAAAGTGGTGAGTCGTGTCATGTTTCTTTCTGGTGAATACATCAGAGGCGTAGCGAGGGGGTGGGGGGTACATATGTCTCCGGGCGCCAACCAAGAGGGCGCCAAAATGGGTTGTAAATAAAAATTAAAAGCTAATTTTAGCTGCAGTTTTGCATTATCTATATATATAATTCTCTTCTTCGAGCCGTTAGAAAACAAGCTGCAAACGCTCTCCCTACCTCCCCACCCTTACATGGTTTTAGTGAGCTGTGTTCACTCTAAATGTTTACAAGCAGAGCCAACGATTTTAAACGTAGGGGGGGGGGGGGGGGAGGAGGGGGGGGGAAGGAATGGGGGGGGGGGTTATGGTCCTTAACGAGCTACTTATAGTGTTTTAAAGAAATATGTTCAGTGTCAGCGTTGGTACTGTCGAATTCACAAATTATGAATTATTGAAAATTATAAACAACTAAATAGCGGCGTATGTTATGCCGCGGGCCGGCTCGTAAATATTAAAAAAATATATGGGGGGCGCCAAATTGAAAGTTCGTCCAAAAAGGGGAGGGGCGCCTAATTGAAAGTGTGTCCCCGGGCGCTGGAAAGGGTCGCTACGCCTCTGGAATACATTTAATGGGTGAACATTATTAATTAACTAACATTTGAACTTGGTCATGAAATGGGGTCTTTAAAAAACTCCATTCGGAGACCTCCATGCTTTTTTTCTAGTATCGCTGTGGCGCAAAGTATATGGTCATTTGTAAGACTAGGGTCACCTCTAGTGTCAGAGTTTAGGTCAATAACAAATCCAGGGCTATTAAGAAATATTGTATTGGCAGTTTTTTTTTTTAAAGGGTAGATGTTACGTGAAAATAACGTCCGACAGCCAGAGCAGTGGCATAGCGAGTTCGGTTGTCACCCGGTGCGGTACTTAATGGTGTCACCCCCCAGAGGCGTAGCGACCCTTCCCGGGGACAAACTTTCAAATTTTCGATTTGCACCCCCCCCCCCCCCCCTCAAACTTTCGATTTGCACCCCCCTCAAGTTTTTCTCTATATATATTGCTATTTTTTGACTTGGTGTCACCCCCTAAATGGTGTCACCCGGAGCGGTCCGCACCCCCCCCCCCCGACACCCCCCTCCCTCACTACGCCTCTGAGCCAGAGTAAGTATATATTCCATCTTTTTAGACAAGAAGAAGACATGTTCTTGAATAATATTTTTTTTTAAATCTAGGCGTAGACTGCTCTGGCATTGTTAATGAGGTAGTTTAATGGACTTTATTTAAGACATTGCAAGCATTATCCACAATAGCACCAATCCAATCAAGCGATTTTGATTAGATTAAACAAAAAATAATATTATGTTCTTTAATATTTAATTTTGTCAACACGAGTAGTTTCCCCTTACTATTCAAGATATTTATTTTGAGAACATGTCACAACAAATTTAAACAAGAACGTCCAAATAAATGAGTCACAATAAACTCCACGTTTGGAAACTCTTTTGCATTATAACGCTTTATTTTCTTTAGGCCGTGGCCTTAATTGATAAATAGGTCAATTAGATTCAGTACCGGCGCCAGGTTATTTAGCGCCCTAGGCCAAACTTCTTAAAAACACCCCCCTCACTTTCGATTTGCACCCCCCTCAAACTTTCGACTTGCACCCCCTCCCCCTCAAACTTTCAATTAATTTTTCCAACCCATTTTGGCGCCCCCCCTCCCCTACGGACAGCGCCCTAGGCGACCTCCTAGTTCGCCTTATAAGTAGCGCCGGCCCTGATTGGATTTCAACAATGGCATCATAGTAAGAGGATTTGTAGTATTAATCTCTAAATTTGAGACTTTAAACGCATTCCAATCTCTTAAATAAACGTTAGTACAATTTGAGTATCGTTATTTTAAGTCACATTGAGAATATACCGTACGTGATTTTATACAAACGAGCCGACCCGCGGCATATCATACGCCGCTATTTAGTAGTTGTTTTTTCTACTTTTCAGTTATTTATAATTTGTGAATTCGACACTACCAACGCTGCCACTGAAAATATTTCTTTAAAACACTATAAGTAGCTCGTTAAGGACGATAACCTCCCCCCCCCCCCTCCTCCCACCCCCCTCCGTTAAAGTAAACTTCACTTAGTTACCCCCCCCCCCCCCCCTACGTTAAAAATCGTTTCAAACTAAATTATCTGCCCCTAATAGTCGTCACTAAACCCGGCTCTGCTTGTAAACATTTAGAGTGAACACAGCTCACTAAGACGATGTAAGGGTGGGGATGGTAGGGAGCGCGTTTACAGCTTGTTTTCTAGCGTCTCCCAGAAGAGAATTATATATATATAGATGGGAAGTGGAATGGAAAGAAAGAATAGTGTATTGAATGGGGCGGACATCAGTGTTTCTTCCAGACTTTTTTACTCCTGGGTGGGGGGGGGGGGCACTTGAAGTAGTGTAGCCGGAAGAATGTGCTGTATATTAATTTGATAACTAAATAAAATATTAAGTATTTTAAATTTTAACAATGTCCATTAGGGGTTATTTATTTAGGACGTCCATTCAGATGCGAGAAGTTTCGAAAAAAACTGACTTTTGTAGATGCGTGTGGATAAATTGGAGAGGTCTAAAATATTGATTATTTTTTGTGGACGTCATAAAATGATAACCATTATTTAAAAATAACATTTGTGTTGTCGGTAGTTTAAGTGTGAAGACTGGATTTAATAATCATGGGGAAGTCTCAGTGTGAATTTAGTTATTGTTGTTAATGCAGACGAAAGTACGTTTTCCAAAGGAAAACTGGGTCGTCTAGTTTTTTTTTTTTTTTTTTTTTGTTTTTTTTTTTTGTTTTTTTTTATTTTAGTAATAAAAAAACCTGATTGCACTCTAGGTGCCATCCTACTTACCATTTCATAAGAATAAACGGCAAAGTTTATGGTAGATTACTTTCGCTCTATTAATATTACAAGATTGTAAGATATAATAAAATTATAGCACAATTATATCATGACAATGCCTACTAATAAATTCCAGGGTATGTGAACGAGTTCGACCAACTGTTAACCTACGTGTGTCCAGATAACAAAGTGATGACCGGTGTCTCTAGTTACCATAGCGACTACTACGAAGACCGCAGGTTCCAGTTCCAGTGCTGCAGCGTCACCGGCAGAAATTTGACCGGATGTTACATAACAGGTGACGTCAACACTTGGGACAGGCAACTGACCCTTTTCGTCCCCGAGGGTAGAGTGGTAAATGGCGCGTACAGCGTACACAGCGATTACTATGAGGACAGGATTTGGAGATTCAACATTTGCAGCATTTAAAAATTAATTAATACTTTGTATCATTTATGTTTTAATTACCTATTATCTACTTCGAGAAACGTTTGTGTTTATTGTTAAAAACTTTTTCTTTTGATGTGTTATGTATTATGTTTTAAACTATAAAACGTATTTTTTTAACGAAATTGGTGCATTTTAAAGTTATTGTAGTAATCCGATTTGGTTAAAATTAGCTATTCCTACATATTCGTATTTCTAGGCACAATAAAAACGAGAGCATGCATTTAAATTGTTTTATTCTGATGTTTTGAATGTCATTAAAAAAGAATAAAGGGATTGGCACAAAAGAGTTGTTTCCGTGACTTTTAATGTCGAGTAATAACTAACCCTATTCTTCAGCTGAGCTAACGTAGTAACTACGACTAAAGCGTAACCTGAACCTACACTAAAAATATTTATCCTAAACATGCTACTAATATAAACTAGTGTGATTTTATTTTAGGTGAGAATCAGTGAGCACCATTTAGCGTTCAGAGCAACAGTTAGACTTTGTATATGGCCAAACTTGGGTAAATAAAATCGTAGGGATGGGGAAAGGTGAAAGGTGTAAAACATAAAAAAAAGTTTAATATTTGCACATACGTCCAAAATTCAATTTTTTTTCTAGCCGTGAAGTTTAAACAGCCAATGAATACATGCATGTAAACAATATCAGATGCCCTCAAATGCAATTTTTCCCAACACCCAGAAAAATTATGGCAGGGGTGTCAGTGACAGAACTGCATGCTTTAGGCGAACATAAGCTCTTATCACCTTATCTACTGTACAACTGCTTATAAATAATTCGGATATCGTCATCTAATGTTTTCCCTTTTACAGCATACCTTACAGGTAGAGAAAGGTAGATTTCAATCGCTTATCAGGGATTAAATTTGATTTATTTTTAAATTATATTTTTTTACTCTTGATGTAACAGCCGGGTCCATATTTCACTTGATTTTGTAGCGTTTAGTTTTACAGTGTATCTATGAGTCGTCGTGGCCGAGTGGTTAAGGCGATGGACTTGAAATCCATTGGGATTTTCCCGCGTAGGTTCGAATCCTGCCGACGACGTTTGTTTTACTTATATGAAAGATTTAAAAAGATAACTAACTCAAAGACAATAAGTTAGGCCTAATTGAATCGTATGATTTTACCACAGTAATCAGAAATAAATTTAGAAATAAAACCTACACGAGTTATTGATCCAAAAATTCATTTTATGTAAATTACCTATGTTTTCTATACAGTCAAAGACTCTATGGAACTTTCTAGTGCTAATTTAAAGAGTTTAGTAAAAATGTGTTAATAAATAGATTTGTAAAAAATGTTGAAACAGTGCACCAATATATAAACTGTCTTAGCTTATGTTATTATTAAAGATATTAGTAAAAGTAAAGTAAAGTTTCCCTTTTAAACCTGACGGTCTATGGGCGCATATGAAGAAATAGTGTGGTCAGCACTATGCCCAGCCGCCTTTACTTTCCCTAACGTGAGTTAGGTACCCATTAGAGTTGGGTGGACTCAGAGACGGTCTACTGACTTGAACCCGGATTCGAACTGCTTACGGGTTAGCAATCCAGCTCTCTACCACTAGACCTCTCCGTCCCCAAAATATATTAGTAATAGTTTATAATTGTATGTTTCTTTTCGGTACACATAAGCTAGGTAAACAAAAATACCAGAAATATCTTCAAATCAATGAGCTACATATCTTGACTTGGGTATTGGAGAGGTGGGGTGGGGGAGTCTGAGAGGCAGAATGGAATAGGATTAAACCCCGCCTTGTTGGGTCTTCCTGCAGTGGGGGATCCGGACAAAAGGCCGACATCCAAAAGGCCGACAAAACATAAGGCCGACACGGACAAAAGGCCGACATGGACAAAAGGCCGACAGCCAAAAGGCCTTCAGATATACCACTGCAGTGGTATGTCTGAAGGCGTTTGTTGGCAATGGTTTGTCCAGTGTAGGGTAGAGGAACAGATTTGACATGCTTGTCTTCTCCCGGCAATTGTAATTAGGATAGGGAGCGATTTGTTTTTGTAGTTTATTTTTATGTACTGTCGGATAGTTGAGGGTTTATCAGTGTAGACAGAAAAGCTGCGATTATTAGTGTGTGGGTGTGTGTTTATGGATGACTCTTTGTTGCTGAATAGGCTTGTTTGCGTGTAGCGTTGTTAAGTGTAGGGGTATCCATCTAAGGGTCCCGTTGATTTTGTCGTTTTCATGAAGTGAGAAATGCAGTATATATGAACCGTGTGTTTTGCTTGTGTTGTGCATTGTGGTTACGTCAAAGGCTTATGAGGAAAAGTACCAGGTGTCAGCTCTGCCATAGTTTAGTAGAAAAATTTGATGATTGCTGATGAGATGTCTTATTATATGGCCTCGTAGGTTTGGTTGACCTCTTGAAGTGATAAGTACTTTCATTGTAGCTGAGGCATTTTCAGATGAATAAAGGTCTGGACAATCTTCTTGGGGTAGATCAAGAGTTACTGTTGTTGACTTGGCTGCAGCTGAAAAGTGTGGGGCCCAAGATTTCATTAAGCCACCCGAACCATAGTCCGGTTGGCTCTTCTCCAAGACTCTCGCCCAAGGGGAACAAAAATGGGCGCAACTCCATTTTTTAGTTTGGTAATAGTTGCATAGTCCATTTCTAGTGTATAGAGATGAGGACTTTGAACTGAATATCTAGTATATTAAGTTTAATTATGTATGTTTGTGCCGCGGTAAAACCTAATTGGCTATGGTACCGCCACTGCGCAAAACTCGTACAAAAAATTTTATATTTTTTTTGTTGTAAAATTGTTGTTTATTTTTTGTTTGCACTTTTACAAAACCCTCCTTATACGTCGTATACGAGAAAGTATTATAAATATTACAATATTTCATCTAAAGACCCATACTGTGTTTTATTTTTATTTATTTTTTATATATATTTTTTATTTGAGGTTGGACATTTCGTATTAAAAATCACACTGCAACATTTGTAATTATTTTTTTTTTATATAAAGTTCAATTCTTTTTTTTTATCCATAAATACTCTGTATTTATTGTGTTTATATGACATAATGTACCTGACTTCATTAGACTTCAGTATTTCCTCTCAGCTTTAATTATTTTTTTCCCCTTTTTTTTTTGCCTCAGACATGTAATTTACAGCGTCAGTTGTGTGTTCGCTTTAGTATTACAGTTTTCATCATCGGCTTGTGAGGACTGATACAGATTTACAATAGTAATATTTCTTTATTACTTGTAGCCTACTTTCATTCATTTAAGATGGTTTACTTATACATAGATCTAATACAAAACGTCTAAATATAAAAAAAAATTAAAACAAAATAAATAAAAAACAACCTGAAAATGCAATTGTGTAATAAAATGATGATTCAAGGGATTTTTTTTCCTCGGCGTGGTGGGTGGGGGGGGGGGGGGGGGGTTAATTTGGGTTTTTCAGTAGTGCTGAAATAAATTTGTGATTACAGAGAATTAAAGTGATACAAATTTCAAGCAATCGGAAAAGTTATGTTATTACAAAAAGACACATCAAAGCAAACACATTCTTCCCTTTCTAACATCTATATCTATACAGTCCTCAATTTTTTTTTTAAAGTTCAATTCTCTATGAATTCGACAGCTAAAATAGCGTTCAAATTAATGACAAAACAGGACACATTCATTGAATGTACAACAAATAGTTTAGGAAAGAAAATAGTATTTGACATATTTCTTTTCTCTATAAAAATATTGTTGAAATATTTCACACTTTAAAAGAAGTTGACACTCAATCTACTTTTATATTGTAAATTGTTTTATGATGATTTTATATTGTGTTTTTATTAGTGCATTTACAGTAGTGTAAACACTTTTTAAAAATAAACAATTTAATTACCCTGTAAAGTTGTTTCCCTTTGTTTTTAATTATATGTAATGGGGAAGTAATGCAGTAGGTGAGTAAGCAAGTGGTACTAAAACAGTATTGTCGGGCAACAAAATGACAACATTCAGGTGTTTTCTATTGTTTAAATAACTCATTGTACTTAAAAGCCTGCAGTCGTTTGTAATGTGGTAACATTTTCTGCGAAGAAATGGCAGTGGCGTATCCTCATATAGTCGGGAGAAATTACTTTGAAACAAAGAACAAGAATTTATTCGTGTCATATCTCAACAAAAGAGATAAACTTATACACATTATTGTGTATTTTTACATATGAATTATTTTTAAGTGTTCAAAGTTTGATCTTAACACCCATCAGATGAAAATCAATCCAAATGATTCGTGCGAAAAAAAAGTCCATATCGATTATGGGTAAGGTTGAAGGGCATCGCTGTGTGGTAATTGATTCTTAAAGATATTTGATTTCAAGTTACACAATCAACAGCTTAATCAGTATGTAAAGCTTTGTAACAGACTATTTTTCAACATCCGCTTTAGTAAATTTGTTCCATGTTACATTTTTAATTTTAGTATAGCCTGCGGCTACCCACATATGACTATGGGTGGGGGAATATATTTATATTCAGAATTTTTAAAAAAAACTTTACATTTACATTAATTATACATTTTAAACAATACATATTTTACTAATTTGATGTCAATGGTTTAGTTTTGAAACCAACTGATTAGTTTCATAAAATTAGTAACTCATACAGAGAAGAAGAGCGACCCTTTAAACAGAGGGTGCTATTTGTTAGAACTTTGGTGGGGATGTGAAACTGTCGTAGCTCATTAATATTTAATCTTATATTAACGTATTTATTAATTATTTTTTTGTTCAAATTGTTTAAAGACAAAAATTTTATATGAAAATGATATATATTTTGCTGCTTTTATCTCCATGAAAGGAATTACAAAATCCTTCATAAATCAAAAAACTAAAACCTCGCTAAATAATATTTTGTTAGCAAAAAAAATCAGCCCCCAGTGATAATAAAACTCACGACCCCTGGTTTACAAGACCAGTGCTTTAACCGCTGAGCTATGGAGGCCGTTAAGTAGGGATAATTAAATATTTAGATATTATACAACTTACTTATTTCCAAACAGATCGTGAATTGTAATATGTATAATTACAATCTCGATATTTTTTTTTACTCTTAATGTTAAAGAAGCAGTGTCGAGGGGTAGGGGTGGATTTTAGTGGAGTTTTAACGTCCGAAGTTCGGTGGTTGTGTCGTACACTTAGTTAAAGAATGGTAATTTATTATGCAGCCTCCATAGCTCAGTGGCTAGAGCACTGGTCTT